CCGCCAAAGTTTCCGCCGGCGATTGCAATACGAACGGGCTTGTTCACAGCGTGCATCTTGTCTACAGAAAGAAAACCTAATGGAGAAATTACACCCTGAAATCGTGGCTCTCTCTCCGTCCCCACTTAAATATCCCTGCCAAGACTGAAGCTTCGGACCTAGGCTAATCTGTTCGGTCCCTCATCGGATAAGAGGTGGTCTCTCGGACTTTCCTCGCCCTCCGATCGCCAAAATCGGATTATCCTTGCCAGCCCCTCCGAGACGGTGCCGACCTTGCCCCGTCCAAACGGAAAGTCTGCCTTGCTGCCACAGACCGCCAGTGTGGCCAGTCGCGGACACGACCGGCGAATGGACGCTCGCTGTCGCTGGGTAAGTGCAACGTATGTGGCGTCGACTATCCGCGCCGAGTGCCCTTTGCGGATCACATCAAAGTCCAGCGCATCCATGTCAATGCCAATGGCCCCGCACCCACAGTAGTCTATGGACACGACGGCTAGTGGCAGTGGCGAGGCTAGAAGGCTCAGCAGTCCCGATGCATTAAACAAGCCGCTGGCAGCCTTCACCATGCCCGAGACGCGGAGCGTACTGAGATTGGCTACGTTCCTGGCGATACACCAGGCCTCGCCGTTGCCCAGCCCGGGGAGCGTAAGGTGCCGGAGAGACGGCCAGCTCCGGGAAAACGTCTTTCCATAGGCGATTGCCCGTGCCAGAGGCGGCCCGAACGAAACAACTCTGAGGTTCACAAGCTGTGGGAACTCTGCTGCATCCAGCACCAACCGCAGCGTCATCGCAGCACCTCCCTCGTCATCATCCACCTCGTCCACTACTAGACGAATTCCTAGACAGGTAAGGCGGGTCCAGCACTGTGCTGCTGGCAGTTTAGACGTGCTGATATCCTGGCACGAGACCCCAGCAACAATGAGTTGGGATGGAGTCAGCCCCTCCAAATTAAGCCCCTCCAAAGCCCCACGAGCCTTGGCCAGCACCGCGCGGATAATACGGATGTCAATTAGCGCCGTCAGCGTAATCACACGCACCTGTAGTCCCACAGGCAGCTGCAGAATCGGGTCGCGGTGGCCAGAGATGACTGATACCGAGTCGTCTCCCCTAGGCAGGGCGCGGAAATGTATCTCCTCAAGGTGATTTGTGTAGAGCAGCAGTGCGGCACGGCGCATATCCACAGGCACCTGACCGCAGATAGTGAGGCGCTTTACTGTCCCTAGCCGAGGTTCCAGGTAAGCAGCGAGGCCTGGGAACGCGCACTTGTGCGCATAATCGATCTCCAGCTCCTCAATGTGGGGCCACTGAGTCAGCTCACAGAATGGCTGAAGAAGCTCCGAGCTCTCTCCGTGCACTGTCAGCGAGTACCGCCGCCGGTAATGTGACACTATGCTGCGGAACGTCACCTGCACCCACAGCTTCCGTGTGTAGTGGCCGTAGGCGTCACGGATCCCTCGTATCGCCTCGGTGCCAAGCTGGTCGTCGATATACACCGTATTCCATGCGTGCCGCATCCCGGCCTGGCGCCAGCTACGGTCCACCTGCGTCAGGACGACGGCTGTGCTGGCAAAGTGCCGCTGGGTTTTGGAGGCCCTTGTCCTTACTT